AATCATTGTGGATCAATCGTCCTGCTGTTAGCGGAGAGCAGCAACACGGAAGATTCCTCTTGCTGTGAAAGAGGGTTATCCGAGCAGGAGACATATTAATGTTAGATTCCGTCCAAGGTGCATGTGAGATATCAATGTTTCCTGATATGAAGATATGACTGCAGGAGGAAGCAGGACTGGGTGTTTACAGTCAACTTTCTAAATTTTCTTGTGTAGCATAGCGACTAACAATCCATCCATCCATTAATTATCAAAATCAGTTAGATGTACAGATTGGCCTCTTCTCATTGGTTGATGCTGCACTGTAGCAAGTCATCTAAAAATGGGATAGGCAAATTTCTTCAAGGTTGAATATGACCACCACAATTAGCCCTCATATGCAGGTCCTGTGGACTCGTTACCTGACCTCTACCTTGTGAACGGGCAGCTTGTGAGGCCCTGAACGCTTTTTGCTGCTGTGTGGGGGCACCACAACACAGTGACCTGTGGGCGTGGCAGTGCCCACCATGTGACCGTGCCTGGCCAATGAAGACCACTCTGTAAAGGTGCTTTCATGGACAGAGGCTTCTATCCATACTGTGGCCACCCATCCATTCAGGAAGACATCTATCCTGTTTTGCACTTCTAGCTTCAGCTGAATTTCTTATTCAGACTGACTCATGATGTATTCACAGAAAAGACCACTTTGTGCAAATGACAGGACTTTATATTCAGCAGTATGAAACCAATAACAGCTGCTTAGCTTTGAAGATGTTTATTAGAAAGCCAAGGCAGTGGGGGTCTTTATCACAGGACTGTATTGACCCAGTACGTCTACAGGGCTAACATTTCATGCAGGGAAGTCACTTACAGTATTAAGGTGTGTATGATTTTATGCCAGCGATTCTCATCACTTGGGTTGTGAGGTAGAATTGGAAATATAAGCATTTTACCTGGAAGCTCCTATGCCAGGGGTGGACAGTCTTACCCGCAAAGGGCTGGTGTGGATGCAGGTTTTAGGGGTAATCTTTAGATTAGCTGTTCAGACCCAGGTGTGAGGATTCTTCAGCCAATTAGTCCTCTAAGTAATCTAATTAGGGAATTGCAGTGAAAACCTGCATATATAGTGGCCCTCTCTGGATAAGATTGGCCACCCCTGTCCTATACTGATCCAGGATCAGATATCCCAGCCCCAATCCTAGAATTAATCTATATAAAAACAGATCTTGGGTATGCAAAAGCTTAGCGCAAAACTACTGAACACTTACCTAATCCCAGAAACCAAACCACAGATGCTTAATGTAAAATTCACTGGCACATCCAATAAGATTTGTGCGATAGGCATTGATTGGTGTAAATTGCAGTGTGCACTGCAGGCTTGATCATAGCATCAATTTAAACCTATGCTTGCTATAGGGTCGCAACTGAGCTGGCATAGTAAAAATTGGGTCGCGGTGCAAAAAAGGTTGAAAACCACTGTTTTATGCTGTCTGTCTGGTGTGATTCATTTGTTCTTTGGTCCCTGTGTTATAACTGAACTAATACTTTATTGATCTCCATGTATAACTAATCATTTCCTAAATCAAGCTGGATCATGAAATTGGAAAACGCTAAGTGCAGTTTATTTAAAGCAAAGCCTTAAATGATCAGCAGTATTTTATGCTTAAAAGTACGACATCAGTCAGATATAATATATATATATTTTTTCTATGGTTGAATGGCTACCATTATACCACTACTGTGATGAATTTGCTGATGACTTGGAGTATCGTTACCGGTGCTTAAAATGTATATCTGCCAGTAGCCACAGCTTTTTGTGTATATCCACTCCTGCAATGAATGGTCCATTTTCCGGCAATATTTTGGTGTAATTTTTAAAAGAGCACAGACGTCCAGCTTGGTAACCAAAATAGCTAATAAAACCAAACCAACGCTGCTATGCTGCCATAGTTGACCTGGGCCTGAGAGAATCAGAGATTGGAGGCGTGAAGGTTTAGGGAAGAAGGTACGCAGATGGCCTTTTATCCTGAAGGTTGGTGAATCCTTTGAGGAACTTACCCTTAAACTGCTTCATATAGCAAAGTTAGCTAAGCGACCGCTACAATTAGCCCTCGTGTTGCTAGCCCACTTGACCTTGCTCTCCAAAGGATGCTGCGGAAGGTGAATAGAAGGCGAGATGCCATCTTGATGCTGATATAGGGGGCTGATATAGGGGAGATCATTTGTATGTCCCTATCGCAGGGATCTTTCTAAGCACCCAATTATAGATAGGGGCACTCAGCAGATCGGAGTGATGTCAAAACGTATGGGATTACTGTGAGGAACAACATGCTAGTGCAATGTGTTCTGGAACGTTCTGTGGCCCTTATAGCTCAAGGAGATGTACCTTGAAGATGATTTCAGAGGAGGCCGAACCGTCAGCTGCATTGCAGTGGAGGAAGATGGAGCCATCCACCGTATACCACTGCACGTCAGAATTTGGATTCCACCACCGCTCAACTCAAACCTGAGCTGCGAGGAGATTTTACCCTCAAAATGAACAGGTGCAGTGATAGGAAATGGACATGTCCCTCAGTACACTTGTCTCCTGCTGTTCATTTTAATTTGAATGCAAGCAGCCGTATTGAATAGGCGAGAAGACTGGATTTTTTTATTTCAAAACGAAACCCACAGGTGGTCAAAGTTCTGAAATGGAGGCAGAGAGCCTGTTTGCCTCCAGGCTGTGCTGTACTAGGATGGACTGTTGTGTTTCTTTCATTCATTTAATCTCTTTCAAATCCTTTAGAGGAGCAATTATACTGTGCATGAAAAGTGCCCCCCCCCCTCCCACAAACAAACTTAAAACAGCAGTTTTCTTAAGCAGCAACTGAGAGTACAAGATCTAAATTGCAGTGACATATTCTTCAGCCTGTTAGCAAACAAGTGAAATGCTGTTGGCTCTGATGAAGCCGCTGGGAAATGGTTAGCTGTTTACCGTGAAGGATTATCGTTTACAATTAGGGCAACTGTTACATTTTATTAAAGGAATCCCCTTCCAGTAAAAAGTATTTCTCCTTAACAACAAACAATCAAAGTAGAGTCAGCTTCCGCTATATGAGTCATGCAAAAATATGTACATACAGGAAATTACCATACTATAGGAAGCAACAACACAAAGTACCTTAACAGAGTGTTAACGCTTCACTAGCTGTTACCCCGGTACAGAATCCCCATGATCTTGAGCTCTGTTCCCAAGATTCTTTCTTTCACTGCTGAATGTGGCCAAAAACATCCCTGCTTCTGAAGCTCCTGTAAATGTTCTGCCGGGTTCTTCGTGGCTTGTCCAGCTCCTCCCATGGACAGGCTTTCACCTCCTTGACCACCTTCGCTGTAGTCATTCTCGTCTGTTGGTGCCTTTGGTCCATCTCTGGAGATTCCCCTTCAGCTTAACTCCTCATCACCGGCGTCCACCAGCAGGGTCCTAAGTATAAAGATCTGGGCAGTATCTGGCAGGAGAGGTGCTCGCCGTGTGTCTTCTGGGATGTAAAGCCTGCTCTATCTAGTCTGCATCTCCTGCATGACATCAGGCTCCATCCCCACCAGAGAGGTGGCATTCCACGTTCCCAAAGCCAGTGTCTATTGCAAAGGTCTGATCTGTTTGGGCCCTTCCTGCTCATGCTCGATGTCTGACCCTCGCCTTTTCCCATGTGTGCCAGGCCAACAAGATGACATTATGTAGCTGCTTTGGGTCTGGTCACATCCCAACCACTGGACCTGGATCCGTGGCTGTGTCCCAGTGAACCTGTTTTGGACAGGATAATCTGCTTTTTCATATCTGGCCTGTTCCCATTGCACTGTTTGCCAGGGGAAGCCCTACTGGATGCTCCAGCTCCAGATCACACGTCTCTGCGGATCATAAAAGCACATAAACCCCTCCAGCAGGCTAAGGTCATAATTCGTGTTCATAATAGATAGAGAGATAGAATTCCTTCTGTACTGTCTTTTTACCTTAATTTGTGTTTTTGCAGAATTTTTAGCATTATTTGTAGCAATTTTATTGGCTCAATTTTATTCTGTAAATCACTTTGTATGCTTGTAGCTAAAAAAGTGCTAATAAATAAAGGTTTTATGTGGAAGGAAGGAAGGATAGAAGGAAGGGGTATTTATGACCCTAAGCACAAAGCCTTAAAGATGTATGCAGTTAGATAGTATAACTGGATTTCAGAGCAGAGGAAACACTGATCCCTTGCTGTTAGGTGTCCAGGTGTTGTACTGAGGCTGTTTTATAGCTGGTACCTGAAGCCTGGAGCCCATTCTGTCACTATACATTACAGGTGAGTGTCACAGTACTGGGTCTGTATGATGATCCCCGTAATGCCTACCAGTCACGACACATGCGGCTGTGAGGCTCTGCCGTAAAAGTTAAAATTAAGAGTTTAAACTGCTGATCAGCTGGACTGCATGACCATAAGCAGGGGCAGCAGCAGCAGGCAAAGAGCCTTTGGAAGTCCAGTAGAGGGGTCAACACCTCGATTACGACTGTATTTAATCCTGTTTGTCTTACTGACCATATAACTGCCGGGACTTTGTCTCTGCCTCTGCTTCCCGGTCCTGGCTCCGTTCCTGTCCCTTAGTGTGTCCGTGTTGCGTGTACAAAGATAAAACCTGCAGACTCGGTGCATTTTGTACTGCCTGGAAATTGCTCGAAAACATGGAAATAGCTAAACTGGGAAATGTATGGAAACATCTCTTTGAAGCTGTTCTTTAAGGGTCTCTTATCTCGGGAAACACATTATGCTATTTGCCGACTGATTGTCTGTCAGGCAATATGCCTCTTAAGAGTGCCAGTCTGTACAGGGTGCTGATTTTATTTATTTATTTGTAGCATGAAGGACTGCTTGACGGCATAAGCCAAGGAAATAAATTAAGGATAGCTTTCAGTGACATTGACAGTGGTTATCATATTCACAGAAAGCCACAGCCAAATGAAGCCAATCCCCTTGAGAAACTCAACAAATGTCACCCCCCCCCCCATCCTATAGAGCCCAGCGATGATATTCTGGCACCCCCTGCTTGTGGAGCCTTAGAGAACTGCAATCTGACAGAGAGGGACTGCGCCTACGGATTTCAGCAGGATCTGAATGGCTGTCGCACCTGCCACTGCCGGACACGTGAGAAAAAAACACAATTACTTTATATATTGTGCTTTACGGCCTTTTTCCAGACATTGTAGAATGCATGGGCTTAAGGGACCATCTGCTTTTTCAGCTCTTTTTTGTGTTTTTTAATTGCTGTGTTTTAGATGTGAGCTGTTGTTTCTGCTCCTTCTATGGGACAGACGCCCAGAATTTTTTATTTTACCATGTTTAGACCCAGAAGATGCCAGTGAGCAGCAGGACAATATTACTGTTGAATTTAATATATGCGTACTTCGGCATTTTAAATCATAATGATGGTTTGACGGAAGATGGGACCCTGATGAGGAAATTTTCTGTGCCAGTTTTCCCATGTTTAGGAACCTTTATAAAGCTGAGAGCCTGAGCTCCCTTAGCTACTGGTGAAGGCAGATAGACAGACAAAGAGATCGAGCTGAATAAATTTTAACTTATAAACAAAAAACTAATCTGCAGCTGGGGGCGTAGCATGTTTGCTGTCTTTATATAATCCCCTCCAAAACAACATTTGTTCATAGAATTGATTTAATTAATATTATTTAATTGCAAGGTGGCACAGTGGCTCAGTGGCTAACACTGCAGCCTCCTACCAGTGGGATTTGAATCTCACCTCCATCTGTATGTGTGTGGAGGGGGGGGGGGGTCATGTATATATTACATTGTGGGGACCAGATGTCCCCACATTTTGATAAAAACCTGTAATTTTTACATTGTAGGAACTATTTTTGCAGTCCCCACAAGGGAAAAAACTAAAAATGCTAAAAGTGTTTGGTTACTTATGGTTAAAGTTGTCATTGTTGGGATTAGGGTTTTGCCCATAAAAATGAATGGAGAGTCCCCACAAAGACATGATTACAATTGTGTGTGTGTGGATTTTACATGCTTATGTGGGTTTCCCATAGTCCCAACAACACGTGGGAGTATGTCCTCTGTGACTGATTTACAGGGTGTATTTTGCCCTGTTTCGTTGAATAGGATGGATCTTTAAATATAATCAAACATGTGAAAAACATCAGAAAATGTGCAGATCCCAGACATGTATGTATGACTGGTTCTGTGAAACACTATCCACCCCCCTGAATGCAATACTATGCTTAGGGCAGGTCATTAAGCACATACTACCTCAGACTGGCACATTGGACACATTGCACTCAGACACTCATACGGTAATAGGATGACTGTCTCTTTTTGTGTGTTGTTCTTATCTCTCTTATTTATTACTTATGCTGCTAAACAGAGAGCTGCTAAACTGTTTTTTCACTGTTTCCGTAATAGTGACGATAAAGATCTATCTTATCTTATCTTATATTTCAAAAGGTGCTGGTTCAGATGGTGCCTGCTTCCCAAACTTAATGCCCCCTCCGTCTTGTGCCTACTTGTCCCGCCAGGGAAGGCGCTGTGCAGAGAGATGATGACTGGCTGTGCCCTGAACTGCCCTTTCGGCTTCCAGACCGGATCCCAGAGCTGCCCGGTGTGCCGCTGCAGGTTACGACCCAGGAAGTGTCAGCCAGCAGCCTGCGGCAAGCGCTGCCCTCACGGCTTCCAGTGAGAACCTTTCTCAGTTTCTTTCCGGCACGTTCTGGCACTCTGCTACAGAGAATCATGGATGTCTGCTCCTACCACACTGCCAAAAGCTAAATAACTAATTTCCTTTCGAGCATTGGCTGAGAATCACTTGATGTTGAAGTCACTAATTAGTCTAAGTCGTTGAAACCCTTCATTTCACATCAAATTTTATATCAAAATATTTTTATTTACTTGCCAATTAACAACTTGTATACATTTTACCTCTGAAACATCACAGCAAATGAACACACCAGTCAGTGGCAGATTCTGAAATTCCCAAATTTCCAGATGGTCCTGCTTCATTTTAGGGAGCCACTGACTATCAGTCAAAATATGGTTGGAACCATAATGAAAAAAGCCCATAGAAGCACTTGGTCACTTGCTTCGCTCCCTCTTTTAATTCTCCTGAACAAATGGTTTTCTTTGCATTCATTCTGAGAAAGGTTGAGCTTGGGATCAGGTGCTGCATACTCACTTGAATAATTCATCAGTTTGACGCCTTCTCTCCCCCACCTGGTCTATTGATATTCAGCATGAAAAAACCCCCCGATGGCTCATCATATCAGTAGCTGCAGCGTGTCGTGTGCGGATCCCTTCCTGTGCCGTTGTTTGTGCGATAAGATCCAGATGAGAGAGACATGAAGAAGACTTCACAGTGGCTGTGTCATCACGGAGCGGCCGCTCTGCAGCCGATCGAACGCTCGACCCCCCGTGTGGCCTTTTGCAGCATCAGAGGGCTCCTTCCACTTGCGTTGATATCTGGCATAGGTCTTGTTAAGCAGATAACTTTAAAATGACATTGTGAGCATTAAAATTAGTGCCGGACTTCCAAACAGAGTCCTTTGCTGGACCCTAAAAATAGGTCATTTTGGTCATTCTGCAGTCAAAGCAATGAATCTTGGAGCATAATTAGATCTTCTGAAAACTAAGTGTAGACAAAAATGGTGGATTTGGCACAAGCAGTCAGCCTCTTGTTAGTACTCAGTCTTCCTGTAGCATCCGGTACCCTGGGCACTTCCACAAGATCACACCCGCCTCTGTTTTGTTCAGAATTCAATAGCAAACAACACGACATACTTCATTACATTTCTTGGTTGCTGCATCTATTCTCTAGAAGCTGTACAGGGTGACAAAGTGCCCTCTCACCTCCAGTGTTGGGTTTTTGAATCCAGCCCTACAGGTGTGTGCATGTGTGGCCTGCATATGCTCATCACACAATCCTCCTGCCATTCTAAACCATGAAGTTAGTTAAATGGGTGTCTTAATTTGACTATAGCTTATAAGTGTGTGCTGTGTGATGGACTGGCATCCCATCCATCCCACAATAGCCTACAAATTTCCTGTAACCCTATACTGGATAAGCTCCTACAGAAGATGGATACTGCTTATTAGATTTGAACGCTTAGCAGTTCTGGGACATATGTACTTTCCACTGATCATCTTCAATGATAAGTTACCCCTTTTTTATTCAAGTAGCTTCTGGACGATGTTAATCTTTTCATATGTCGATCTTCTCTTGATGAAACCATTGTTAAGATGCTGGTTTGTTCTGTCTGCTCTACCTGTGTCTCCACTGCACGTCACATGACCGGCGTGCAGGAAAAACAGACACGGGTGCCACATTTGTCGCTGTAAGACATGTCCCGAGGTGACTTGTGACAAGGGCTGCCCAGACGGCCTCCGACATGATGCTCGGGGTTGCCCCGTCTGCCAGTGTAAAGGTGAGCCCTCCATCTTTTGGTGAACTTATGACACTTTCGCCTACTTTCCTGATTTCGGGCAATGCCAGTTTCCTCTGTCCCACTCGACGGTAGCCTCAGATAGGTCTCAGTTGTTTTCCGCTGACTTATTCATTAAATTTATTCTTTTGTATCATTCTCGTCTAAATGCCAGACTGTCCATGCCCATCTGATGTTGTTCGGCAATAAGATGTAAAATGCTTTTAAAGGTCAATTGAAACAGAAGGGGTTTGGTCGGCACCTCTGCCTGCTTCAGGCCTGCTTCAGGCCTGCTTCACATAGCTGATTCCCAGGTTGCCAGCCTCCCATGGGTGCCACACTATTACCTCGCGATTTTGCTTCAGCACTCAAAATAAGTGCCGTGCTGCTCCTGCGCTTTATAATTTATTCATTTGCCAGACGCTGGCAGGACAGCACAGGCCTGTTTTATGGGTTACATCCTCTGGCCCACTTAACTTAGAGACATTAATGATGCAATATGAGAACGCAGCTCCTTTTTCCGTTTTTGTTCTTTTTTTCCGTTAGGGTGTATTGATTCCGGTGCCGGCTGCCCCTGCTTTCTAATGTGGAACATGTCAGAAAAAAGGACGGGCTGCTTTCAGGCAGCATTTCAGTATTTAATTGTTAGGGAAGGTTAGGCACAGATCAGATGCATTCCCTTAGATAACGTGTCCTTGGGCGAATGTGAATGCATGAAAGTGTCCCTGTCCTGCTCTCTCTGTCCTCTCTCAAACTCTTCCTTCACTTCTGAGCCTCCTCCTCTCTCTGGCTCCTTCTTCACCTCCTATCCTGCTCCTCTCTCCAGTTCCTCCTTCACCTCATACCCTGCTCCTCTCTCCAGTTCCTTCTCCGCCTCTTACCCTGTTCCTCGCTCCAGTTCCTCCCCCTCCTCTTACTATGCTCCTCCCTTCAGTTTCTCTTTCTCTTCTTATGCTCTCACTCTCTCCAGCTACTCCTCCACTACTTACATCCTCCTCCATCTCCTATTCTGCTCCTCTCTGCCTCTCCACCGTACCTCTTCTCCTCCACCACCTCTCTCCTTCTCCCCTAACCTCTTGCCCTGCTCCTCCTTCTGGCTCCTTCTCCATCTCTCATGCAGCTCCTGCCTCCTCTTCTCCTGTTTCACACCCCGGTCACCTCTCTCCTCATGGGCTCCGCTCAGACCTTGGCACAGCCGCACCCCTGTCCCTGGCTGTGGTGGGCCTCTGTCTGTCAAAGGATGGCCGTCGGCATGGCGATGGTGAGACCTGGCACGACGGCTGCAGGGACTGCTACTGCCATGATGGCCAGGAGATGTGCTCCTTGATCTCCTGCCCCCCACTGGTCTGCCTCAGCCCCACCCTTCAGCCAGGCCACTGCTGCCCTTTCTGTCCAGGTGAGGCTTTTCCAGCAGAAGGGAAGCAGGATGTGAGACTAACTCACCAAGCAGACATTTAGCCCAATCATTAAACATATGGCTTTCTTTCCTAGGCTGGTCATTCTGTGAAGCTTAAGCCACATTACATCACTGGCCTCTGCCACGGAAGCTCATTAATGGATAGGATGAAGTTGCGCTGCATTTCAAATGATCATATTCTTGTGACAATATTTGCTTTTCATGTCCCTCTTAAGGTGGCCCGCAGACTGAGCAGGAGACCAACAGACCCCTGTCGAGGATCTTGCCAGTGTGCCTTGGCTTAGACAGGGAATACTTTGCAGAGGGGAAGACCTGGAGCATTGACTCCTGTACCCAGTGCACCTGCCTCCGTGGTCAGGTGTTGTGTGAGACCAAGGTGTGCCCGCCCCTTTTGTGCCAGCGGCCAATCAGGACTCAGGATTCCTGCTGTTCCCAGTGCCCAGGTAGGCATAGCCACCAGCTCTCTGCTGCACACTGAATATATAACACAACAGCAGTGAGAATGGCTCCAGGGAGAAACTGCGCAAAGGTAGGGTCAACAAGACAAAAGATGGAAAAAAAAAACAGAGTTGTTTCTCCGAGAGGGGGAAAAAGGATGTGAAGGATTTAAATGGAGCTTTAGTCAGGAGGACTGTAGAATAAATGAATGACTGAATGAAGATGAATGAGTGTTGGGATCCCAGGACAATTATGAGGATGGAAAGGAACAAAAAACAGAACTGTAAAGGAGCAAGGGGCAGTTGGCGTGAGTCAACAGAATGACCTCACTCACCCTGAGATTGCCATGCCCCCACCCAGAACAACATGCTGGTTACATGTACTTTTTCCACCAATCGGAGCCCTGTGGTGTCTGACACCATTCACATGACTTCCCGTTGTCGTGTGTTTCCAGGTGACCTCCTACCGGCTCCACGCCCTAGCAACAGTAGCTGCAGGGATGAGGTAGGGGGCGTGTATCGCGTGGGAGAGTCCTGGAGGCCCGACCCATGTTCGAGCTGTGCCTGTGTCGATGGGGCCATCAAATGCCTGGCGGAGTCCTGCCCGCCAGTCTCCTGCACGGACCCCGTGCTGCACAAGGGCCAGTGCTGCCCCTACTGTCTGGGTGAGCTTCACATGGGACAGGGAGGGGCATCATGGGTGCATTAGGACTCACGTTGCTGTCACTTGCAGAAAGATGGCATGGTGTGGTTCCCATCAGCAAGGACCACACAAACACAGACATTACCCACCTCTCTGTCGTTTGGCTTCTACGCTCAGCATAACTGTCAGGGAAATAGCAAATTTTCTCTTTAAAGACCAGTGAGGACTCAAGAGGCACACTGAAGACACCAATCTGAATGGGCACATTTCCCATTTTAATGAAATAATTATTTACTGGTTTAGTAGGCATTTCATCCCATATAATACAGCCGGGTATTTAAACAAAGCAGTAAAGTACCCTAAGTAAAGGTGCAACAGGAAACCATTGAGAGTTTTAATCTGTTCGTCTCAAGTCTGAACCTTCTTTAAAGAATGAATCTGAGAATCAGTAGTGCCGGTGCACTGTGAAGGACAGGTGAGGTGTGTGTGTTTCTGCGCTGAGGGCCTCTGTTCACATGGACAGGGGACGTCGGTAGGAAGGCCGTGTGTCACTACGGTGGGGCTGCCTACACTGATGAGCAGCGGTGGCACGTGGACGAGTGCACGCGCTGTTACTGCCTGCAGGGACAGACGCTCTGCTCCACCGTCAGCTGTCCCGCTCTGCCCTGCCGCGAGGCAGCGCGTGCGAGTGGCCGCTGCTGCCCCATGTGTTCAGGTGAGGGCAGAGCAATTCAGATTTTCGGATATGGAAGGACAGCAGGATATGGGGATGCTTTCAGGATCTGTTCCAGAATTTTCAGGGTTTGACTTTGAAGTTCATTCCACTTTATTCCACTATGAAACCAAGTATACTGAAATGAACAACATTAATAATTAGTGCCTAGGTAGGGGAGTTATTCTTTACATATTGATCTCATGCCGTAATGTAATGTAACACCGTGTGTTAAAATGCAGTGAAATGCAGGGAAACTTTTTAATAGTCACACTGGAGGTGCCCTGAGACCACGGAGACCCAGTCATTAATTGGTCTGGAGACACTGCACATGGCCCATTACTTCCTGTGTGATGCCGCTAGCAAGCAAAGCCTCTAAATCAGGGGTCTCCAGCTCCGGTCCTGGAGAGCTACTATCCAGTAGGTTTTCTGTCCCACTTGGCTGCTGATGAGCCACACCTGCTCCTGGTATTTACCTGAGAACAGGTGTGATTCATCAGAAGCCGGGTATGATAGAAAACCTACTGGACGGTAGCTCTCCAGGATTGGAGTTGGAGACTCCTGCTCTAAATGTTGTGAGAGTCGCACAAAATGGAGACTAAAGGCTAGAGTTAGCTCTTAGCTGTGTGGTAGAGGGGAGAGATCATGAAGAAGTCTCCGCTTTGACATCTTTTAATTCTCTGTAAGAAGCCAAAAGCTTCTTTAAATGCTCTCCATGTTCTGCTTTATACTGCTAGCACACCTGTTCTGTAAACAAGCCAGGAGGTGATTTATCATAAATACAAGTTTATGAACACGTTTAATACCTCGAAAAATCCCTGAGGCTAAATTAGTCATAGTAATTGCTAATCAGCGGCACTATTCCCTGAAAAGCCACTCACTTGCATAGTTAAACATCCCCTCCTAGAGAATACAATGTGGATGGAGAGAAGCTGGATCCCAGTCTATCTCACAGCACATTTTCTAATATTATTTCTTGTTAACCTTTTCATTTAGTGTCTTTCTTGCCTATTTAAATGGTTTTAGCTCACCTTGTTCCTTAAGGTTAATGTGCATTTAATCTGACAATCTAATTATAATCAGAAGTAAAATTCCTTGCTTCTATCATTTCAATTACCATTATATTAAAAAAAAACACTTCATGTTTAAAACATCTATATAAAGCACCTGCTGTATGAATGATGTGAGCAGTGAACCTCTTTGTGTATGGACCTTTGTCTCCCTTCAGACAGTCTTTCCGCAAGCAATTCCAGAGCTATGGAAGTGCGACTATGGGATGACCTGATGAAGCGACATGCCCCGCCTCCAGGGGGTGCCCTTGTGGTACCTCTCAATGGTAAGGAATGGCCTTCTCCGCTTTTCACTCCTTTCCCCTTGGCGGTGCTGTATGAATAGGTGCTCCACACTGCATCTGTGGTGTTTCATTACAGGGGGGGATGGTAGCCAGCAACACTTGGAGAGCCAGATGCCAGGGGCCAGAGAGAACAGGCATTTCAACCCAGCGGCCTGGAGTGCATTACCCATCCTGGTGGTATTTATCACCATCGCCGCCCTCCTGGTCATCAATAAAAAAAAGAGACGGATCGACATTCTTTGCTTTTATAGAAATAAACAGGTAAATATCTTTGACTTACAGGCAGCATGGTGGCTCTGTGGGGGGCGCTGTTGTCTCACACCTTCACAGTTTAAATGCTGCCTCTGCTCTGCATGTGTGCAGTTTACGTGACCTTTCTGTGTCGTCTGGGTTTCCACCTGCAGGCCATTGACATGCAGTGAGGCTCATTTATTTATGTGTGAAAACAGTGTTATTTAAGTAGTAATACTGGTCATTTAGGTAAAACAAGTAAATGTAAGCAAAATGTTATCAACCTACAGTGAAGTAAAAAGGTTTTTATACATTGTTGCATTTATTTTTTAGCAAGTTTTGTAAGGTCCTATATTTCTCTAAACACATACCCTTTAATGTATACATCCAGCTGTTTATCCTGGTTAGGGTCAGTCACATACCCTTTAATGTATACATCCAGCTGTTTATCCTGGTTAGG